TGATATACAAGAAGCTTAAATTATTTATGGAGAAATATTATGGTAAAATGGTTTAAATTTTTAATTGTGCTTCTGAAAAATTTGATTTTTATTTGTATTTTATTTTTATTTCATTGCAAAAGTGTTTCTTTAAAATTTGATTTTTATTTGTATTTTATATTAAAAAGTGTCGTATTTAAGCAAAAAATTGTACTTTAGCACTTCAGAAAAATATCACTAAAGTCTAGTAAATTTTGGGAGTTAGTTCATACCGGGTGCCGTCAGTTGGAGATTCCAGATATTTCATGACATTTATGATTAACCACTGCAGAATGGTATTTGCTTACTTTATGAAACATAAAGCTGAAGCACTTGGTATATTTAAGAATTTTCTAGTTCATGCGAACGTGGAATTTAAAAACGAGTCAAAATTTTATGTAATGACATGGAACGGAATATATGGGAAATAAATTTTCTGGATATTGGGCTGAAAACGGTTTTAAGAGGCAAACAACTGTATCAGCTGCTAATACACCTAAACCGAGTGTATCACATTTAAAAATTTTCGGTTCAAAAACAGTTGTACTTGATAAACGTCCGAGAAATACCAAATTTCAAGCTAAAGGTATTGAATGTGTGATAATTGGTTAACATGAGGAATCCAAGTTTATATGAATCCGTATCCAGAAGGGTCTTCAAGAGCAGGATGTTCAATTCATTGAAAGGTTGCAACTAAATTTTGATATTACAACTGCAGAAAGCTCTGCTAACGATGTGTGTGGCGACAACGGTTTTGAAGGTAAATTTATTAAATTTCATATTGAAAATAATGAAGATGTTATTGATGTTACTGATGATGTTGTTGAGAATGATAATAGTAAATTTCAATATACTCTGAACACTGTGATGAAAACGGCTTAGAGAACAGTGATAGCGTTTTTGCTGGTTTTAACTGGAGTTGTATCCTATTCTACTACCATTTTGGTAACATAAGTGCTATCCTAAATCTGCAAAAAACAAACAGCACTTTTGGGTATGAATTCAAAAAATTGGCGAAGAGCAATACAACTTGTCATAAATGGAAATATAATGCGATATAAGGCACGTCTTGTTGTTAAAGGCTGTAATAAGATGTTTGACATTCATTATACTTTGTTAATATTGTTACCAGTAGCAAGATACTGAACTGTACGAATTACTTTAGCACTTTAATTTTACATTCATCAAATAAATGTAAAAAGGTGCTTACTTGAATGAAAAATTGAAAGAAATAGTTTATATGGAGCTAAATCGGAGAACTGTGCTTACACCAAAAACTCGCGATAAAATCAATATTAATTATGTTTAAGCGATGAAATTTTAATATCTTGTTTTTCAGAACATAATTTATTTTCTAAAAAAACCACATAAGTAATGTGTTTAATATAAGCGATAAGGATTGTTTGAATTTTTTCTTAGATGTCGGAATCGAAAACGCTAACGTATATTGCAATATCCTCAAGGTCAAATATTATTAGTCGCTAGTTATATCAACGCTATTAGTACGTTGCCTCAGTTTAATTTAGTCCAGCGTTTCTATTTCTGTGTTATTGCAAACGCTCCTGTCAATCTAAATCTAAAAAACAAGGGTCTATAGTACTGAGGCGTGGCATTATGTACCGCATACGAAGAACCTATTGACTCAAAGAATTTTTGGATGAAAATTGGTTTTCAAAAATAAATGCAATTGTGTTGTGAAAATATTGAAGCAGCCCAACTGGTTGAGAACGCGATATACCATTCTAGAACCGAACATATTGACGTACGTTGTCACCACATACGAGAAATTTACGGGAAGGTGATTATGTACAAACAGGTGCCATGCTCGCCGTTATATTTACAAAAACATTGCCACGATTGTTACATCAAAAAATTTTTCAAGAGTTTGGAATGTCTACATAATAGAAATGAAGTGATACCGCATTGAAGGTGGGTATTATATAACGCTAACACAATGCTTTAATTGTTAAACATTTATTATGTATATCTTTAATGTATATCCGGTACATGATATTTTGATATTACTTATAATTTTAGTCTGTAATAAAACGTTGCGTTAACAAGATTAACTCCGTTTAATCAGATACATCAAACAAAACCATTTTAAATAGTTACTAAGTTAAGAAAATGTTACCAAAATAAAAATTTGGTGCAAAGGTATACAAAAGTAAAAACAATGTGATCTAACCAACACATCACAGACCGAAAAGGGTATTTTTTGTTTGATTGAAGTATTGCACAAAAATTCAAAAATTTTCTTGAAGAAATTTGAAGTTTTAATTTTTTTAAATCCAAGAAAGACAACTTCAGATTCTTTTTTTTTTTAAAATGAAACTTCCCTTTACAATAATTTTGCCAGTAACATGCTTTTGAAGATATTAGGAAGAATGTGGTTGGGAAACAAAAAATGTTTGTGTTTAAAAGTAACACTAATTTAAGAATTTCAGTATCAAGAATTTGAGAATTTACGGAAAAGTTACTAAATCAAATGAGAAGTTACCAATTTATCAAACGGTAACATAGTTATCACTTTTCGTACAAAACTACCAAAATGGCAACGTTGATTATAAGATAAAGAAAAAAAGGTTTATGTTACTTGCTCATACCATTATGTTTGCGATTTTTTCTTATTTTGTTTTTTTTTTACTATTTTTCGTTTTTTTTTTTTTGTTTTGCTGTATAATAGAAATAATGTTTTTATATCTAACAAGTCCCAATACTCAATTTTTTTTACGAAAAAATCCGAATTTTTGGCTTCGTTTGTGTTATTTTCTTTAAATGCCAACATATTTCTTATTAATTTTTTCTTCTTTTTTAAGTAAAAAACAGTTTAATATTTTAAAAAATCTCAGGACTCCTTTAAATTCTATTGCACGAAAAAGAAAGAAAGGTAGGAGGAAAGAAAAAATGAAAAAAAATTTTAAATTCATATTTCAGTAAGGTTTCAAATGTTCATGAGGAAGGATGTATGATTTTTTATGCACATTTTGTGTTTTCCAATAAGGTAAGTTGAGTAGTGTCGGTTAACAAAAATGTTAATAAAAGTAATATAGGTTGACACATTTCAACAATTTGAATTATCTCATTTCGGTTATTTATACGTTACTTATAAAATTGTTTCAAATAATTTCAGTTAGTTTTTAAGTTATTAAAAATAAATATGTATGTACCTACTTCCAATAAATTTTTTTTAAATAATTATTTTAAAACTATTTCAAACATGTTATATTGAGTGCTTCAAAAATTTTGCTTTGTTCTTTTTTCATATTTTATTACCAGGTAAACAAGATCAATCTATTTATAAAATGTCCCTGCATGTGTATGTATTACCTATCTTAATTCTAAACGGAAAGAATATTACATAAAGAATAAAAATTTTAAAATATCTGTTATTTTACAGTCGGAATTTTTGAGTCATTTGGTAAAATACCATTTATTTCAAAAATAAAAAAATATTCAAATCCGGTCATAAAAGTATATGATTGTTTTTTCCAAACATTTTCAATATTTTTTTTCTTAGGTAATTGATATAAATGACAGTAAGTTTTTAATATTGTTTCAAATAAAAATAGAGGTAAAATTTTGAAGTTTATATAAAATTTGTATTTAACAAATAATATTTGATTGTACTTTAGATATTATTTTCTAATACCCTCTTCAAATTTTTTCTTTACTATGTATTTATATCAATATTTAAGAATTATCTTTCATTAATTATATTTTCAACTTGACACCACAGTTACTGAAATGCTTTCAGTAACATATAAAACGTTGAAGGCGAAGGATGTGCTTGTTGTTTTTCCGCTTTTTTTTAAATTTTAAAATAATTATCAATGAAAATATTAATATATTTTTTTGATTTTTCAAATATATTTTCTAAAATTTACCTGCTTTATAATAAGTGTGAATTTATTTTAATATTTCTTCTCAAAAAATAGCCACTTCGATTTAAAAAAACCCATATAAAATAAGGTCGTGCTTTCAAGATTTTCTTTTAGCATTGGGACTTGTTATAAAGACATTAACAGAAATATTATTTGGTGTAGGTTTCATCGCAGCTTTATAGTAGGTCTGAGAAATTTGGAAAATTTGTATAAATTTTTCATACCTAAAAATTTTACGCTGGTAGTCTGATTATTTTTTTTTCGAATATACGTAGTTAAATTATTATTAGCGAAGTACTGTTTATCAGTTATATGCACCTGTATATATTTTCACATTATAACACAAAAAATTTTATACTCCTCAAAAAAGTTAAAAAAATGGTAATGGCGGAGAATGGAGAGATTATCAATGTTAAAATGTTTCAGAAAGAGAGAAAGTAACATTGTTCCGCAGCAAAGCATTTGCTTCTTTACTTTAAGCCTAATACTTGTACGATACGGAATGTTGTTTCCATTAATTTTTTTTTAAATTATTGTCTTCTTCATCTTGATTTTCAATTTTATTATAATAATGTATAAATAAATATCCGTTTATAATTGAATCATTTGAATTCAGCATGAATCAAATTTATTTATAAATATAACTATCATAGCAGATATATTTCTTTCTCCAAATTTTAACCAAATTATAAACATTCGTTAAAAAGTTTCGAAACAACGTTTTTGAAAGTTTTTACGAATAAAATAAGTTAGTTTCCTCTTTTGGTTCTTTCATTGTTATTTTCATAAGTATTAACAATAAACAAATACATATTGCAGTTTTGTCATTATAAAATAATTTTGGCGAGCTTTACTAATATTATTAACTAAATTAAAATAAATTTTTTGTCATTAAGAGACATTCAACTTATCGTTAAAAATGGAAACTCTTTCTGTAATAAATAAAACTTAAATTAAATATACTTAACTAAAAAGTTTTCTACATTATTAGTGAAGTGCAAATACGTAATTAAAAAATGTAACGTATTTGTATTTTCAGTTAAATGCATGAAAAAGTATACAAAATAAATTTCAACAATTTTCAACATTAATATTCACCTTGAACAGAACAGCTTAACGAAATATTTTTTCCTTCAACTCCGTATACAGTAATTTGATTCGGTACAATGACAGGTACACAAGCAAAATCATCCAAATCAATTTTATCCCATGACTTATTAAATAATCGATGTGGAGCGTCACAAGTTGGTGGGACACTGTATGGTATTTTTTCTCGCATCATCCAAAATCGCAAAGGTCTTAATATACATGAACAATTCCATAAATTTTGAGCTAATTCAAGACCATGTAAATTTTGTAACCTTGTAAAGCTTCCCGGTATTACTTGAACTAATTTATTTCCATCTAATTTTAACCACTCCAAAGTATGCTCAATTCCTTCAAAGGCTCTTGGTTCAATTATTGATATATTACAATAGGACAATTCAATTCTCGTCAACTTTGGTATTCGAGAAAAAGCATCATTGATTATTTTGCTAATTGGATTTCCACTTAAGCGAATTTCTCTCAATTCTGGTATAAAATTAAATGTATGAGATGGTATAAGCGACAAACGATTATAACTTAAATCTAGCTCAACCAAATTATTTAATTCTCGAAATGCATACCGTTCAATAAATTTTAGTCGGCATTTGGATATTATTAATTTTTGTAAATTTAATAATTCTAAATTTGCAAATATATCGTTTCTTATGTGAATAATTAAATTTCCACTTAAATCAAGAATTTGTGTACCTGAATCTATACTATTTGGTATACTAGATACATTTGCGTTGACACACATAACTGATTCCTTACCATATTTCCATTTACATTCACATAGTTGTGGGCATAAGCATGAAACTATTACAATATTGTTTAAAAATACTAAAATACTGAGAAAAATGTATAGACCAACATTGTTTTTGCACTTAGTTATTTGATGATCTCTTTGGAATCTCTCATTATTGAGTTGATTGAAAAGTTTGATTTGACAACAAAAACTTTTAATACAAAAATCCATTATCCCTGAATTGGACAATATGGTAAATGAATCCTGTAAATGTTTTATATTAAAACTCAACGAATATGCGTATTCCAACAAATTCAAACATCCTTCAAATAGTGTAATTCTTCGTATCATATTATTTCTTGATAAATCAAAATTTTAACAAACTTTTAGCTCTAATTAAGCAATTATATTCAATAGACTATTTATAATTCCAAGTATTTTTTAACTTTCAAAAATCATCTTGTTCTTTTTTAACATATCTCAATAAAAATGTTAGTATTAGTTATTTGTAAAATACTACAGACAAAATTCATAATAATGTAAATCTTTTCACTCGTCGATGTTTGAAATATCATGTTGGAGATTTAGAAACAATTGTAATGATGTATTTTTCCATGAATAGTTAATATAATTGTAAATCTGAAAAATATTTAAAATTTACAGTACAAAAATACTTAAATTTTTTAGTAAAGTTAAGAAAATAAGTGAGCAAAATATATACATATTTATATAATCTATCTAAAATAATTTTTTATTATTTTTTGTTCTTAATAATTCCTGATCAAAGAAAAAACTGAGAAAAAAATTTTAAATCATAATGACAACATTTGTAAAAGTTAACTTTAGTTCCACGTGTCCCTGCTTTGTTTGAGTCAAATGTGTTTTTAACTACTGCGATGCTCTAACTATCGTTATCATATCTATTAAAAAGTTGAAATAGGTTTCATGGTTCAGGAAATACATAACCCTTCATTTTGTCAAATATGATTAATTTAATGAATTGCAATGAATTACGAGTTTCAAGTAAGTCGTAATTCAATGCAAGTCTTAACATCTTTTACACATTTAAATATTTTTGTTTAAAAATAGTCATATTAAATATTATGAACATATTATGAACAGAGTAGATTTGGTTCGAGGTTCGTAAAATAGTAATTTTCTATTAATAATTTAAGTTTAGAACTTGCCTTTACATAGCTTGAAAATAATATTTTCCTTATTAAAATAAATAAACAAAGTTCGTTTTAAGTAGAATAAGGAAATCTCTCATATGACTAAAAATTTTTTTAAATATAATCTTAGTGGAATTTATAACAATTTAGAACTAAAATGTAGTTACGTGTTTGAAATTCTGCGCCGAAAGCAAGTACCAATTCGGAGTTGGGAGTGAATATAGTGAATACACTTGAATAACAGTTTTTCGTCAGAAACATAGAATTACGAAAACATATAAAGTTAAACATTAATGGTATTAGGGATTGCAATAATTCCAAAAATCAACTTCTTTAATTTAATTTCGAGCGGGTTTATTATTATTATCCATTATTGGGGACGAATTTTTTTTGTGTGCAGTGGAGTACAAATTAGGGTTTTAAATTTGTGTTAGTATTAAAAACATGTTTTTATAAATATTTGGCCATTTAGTTCTTAGAACATACTACACAATAAGACTGTTCTCTATACTACATAATAAGGTTGTTCTATACACTGGCCTTTGAAGAACAAAAATGTACCTTTAAATTAAGAAAAGAAATAACGAATATAAAGCTTTATTTAGACCATAAATTATGCAAATAGACACTTTTTTAAACATTTCAGAAATTAATAAATTATCATATTTTAAAAATTATATAAGGCCGTTCGACTGTGGTGGAAAATAGTCGTAACCCAATCGGCAACCAGGTAATCACATTTTGCCCGAAACCGTAATACTTTTATTCTATATTATTTAAGATATACTCATTTTGAAACTGCAGCTGTTAAGAAAGATACCAAATTTTTCCTTCATATAAATGAATATTTATAGCTTCAGAACCTGTGACATAAAGTGACCATCGGGGACCAATTTAATAGGCGACTGATTGCTCTTTATTTTTGGTCTACAATCAAATTGATATGAGCCGTAGGTTTTCGACATAAAGCTCATTAAAATCAAAATTTTTTTTCTTGAAATTTATTTTACAAAACTCTAAATTTCTCGAAAAATTGTGTTATAATAAGAGCTAAAAGTTAACCCATATTAGAAATGCAAGTTTCATACATTTTGCATGTTTTATAAATGCCAAATTAAATACATTTAAATTTCACCGTAGCACTGGTAAAGTCGTTTAAAATGGGTGCAGATTTCAGCATATCACTTAAAATTGTTTTGGGTACATCATCAATCAAAAGTGTATAAACTTTCTTCGTACGAAAAATAACCCAATATGGGCCTTTATGCGGCAAGCATAGTTTACTCCTATTTAATTTTTCCACAAAGACATGAGAGCAGGCAAGAAGTTTCTTAGGAACAAAAATGTTTTTTTGTCCATGAAATCTATCCCTTTCCAGCCTAACTTTTTCATTTGCGATTCTTGTTTCATTAGCCAAAGCGTTCAAAATTGTTAAACTAGCAAAAGTTCCAATGACCAAGTTGCCGATAACTAAGTAATTGTGACGGTAAAATATTTTAATTTTTCACACCATTGTGTCTTCAGCTAACAAAATTTGATGGTCAGCTAAATGTGCCATCTCTTTGTTGGCGTGTTGGGAAAGACGAATTTTATGGAGTGCAGCCCTTTTCCTTATTTCGTCTGTAATGAAAAGAATTTTGAGATCCCTGTGAATATCAGTTTTACGAACGTACCAGGAGGGCGCCTACAATATTGCATAATACTCTATTTTGAGATATTTGAATAGTTTGAATATGAAGTTGCTTTGCAAAACCTCATATCTGAATACCGTAAGCCCAGACTGGCTTTAATATTTGATTGTAGATCAAAATTTTGTTTTACGTGGAGAGCGAAGATTTACGGCCAATTAGCCAATTTAGTCCTGCATCTTCAGTTCTAGTTCAGCCCTCTTTTTCTTGACATTCTCCTTCCATCTCAAATTCGCATGTAGCGTCATTTCTAGGTATTTGGTCGAATTTTCATGTGTAAATAACGTAAACTTCTTGAAACCCGGAAAGGTGTTTCTATTTTTTTGTTAGTAAAGTTAACGTGTGAAGATTTGTATTCATTCAATTTGATTTTCCAACTTTTACACCACTGAGAAATCCTATCGTTGGCCCTTTGTAGTTTATAAGCAGCCTCATTTACGTTTTTTGCAACTGCTAGAATTGCTGTGTCGTCCGCAAAAGTTGCCTTCGTTATATTAACCATCTCCAGCATATCACGAGTAAACAGCAGATACAAAACTACTCCTAATATACCGCCTTGAGACACACCTGTTTGTATGTTTTTCAACTCAGATCTATCATTTCCTTGCTTGATGTAAAATACATATGCCATGTAAGATTCTATTATTTCAACGAAGTTTTTTGGTAGAACCCCATCCAGTTTGTAAACAAGACGTTCATGCCATACTTTAACGAATGCTTGCGTCACATCAAGAAACACTGAGGAACAAATGCATTTTTCTTCTAGAGTTTTTTCTATAATTCGATGAACTTGTTCTATCGTTGAGTGTTGCCTTCTGACTGACACGCTGGAATTATACTGCCATTTTCAATCACAGGTTGCAATCTTCTTAGGAATAGTTCTTCAAATAACTTCGAAATAACTGGAAGTAACGAAATTGGTCTGTATGATGTCGTTTCGATAAGCTGCTTTCTCAATTTTGGTATCATAATTACCTCAGCTACTTTCCAAGTTGCCGGAAAATGCCTTAGCTTGACTATAGCATTGATTATTTCAATTAGGAATGATATCGCCTCTTTAGGTAATTGCTTTAATATTTCGGCGGTGATTGAATCAAATCCTGGGCTTTTTTTCGCCCGTAGAGCTTTTATTTCTTTTGATATTTCTTTTTTGTTGAAGAATGCTATATTATGCCTATCTGGAACATGAGTTGATCTTAAGCTAAACTTGATATCAGATGCGATGTTGTTTGGTTCAAATGTATCATACAGATGATTAGCAAATGTTTCTGCCTTTTCCTTGTCGCTATACGCCCAAGCTCCATCCCTTTTCCTGATTGGCGCCGACTGCTCCGTTGGTCTTTTCAATTTGCTTGTTGCTTTCTACAGCGAGTACTTTATTTCTTTCATAGTAGTTAGAAATATTTCAGGACAGACTCTTCTTTCATATCTTTCATCAATCTTCTTAAGTTTTGTGATATATTATTTAATATATTCTTATTTGCTAGATCTCTCGTTTGCTGCAATCTTCTTGTGGCCCTACGTTTTTGGTTTACCATATCTATTATATGTCTGGGATACTTGTAACCAGATTTTCGTTCTGTGGTGGACTTTGTGCTTTCCCATGCTGCATTTTGTTTATCTTCCTAAATTTTTCTGCGGCTGCTTCCAAATCGTCTTCTGCATCAAGTACTGCATTTGGGTGTATTCTTGCTTCTATGTTTAACTTAAAACTTACACATTCTGTAGTTGGGTTAGTGAGAGAAGATTTTTTTTCTTTTTTCAACACCTTCTCTCTCACCCAGAAGATTACCGCAAATTCAAATCATAGCTGGATTCAAAATCATAGCTGTCCTTCAACAGAGGAGAAATTTTCTATCACTCGTTTTGTTGTAAAGAACTGTGGGCCAGTAGGTCGGCTTACCTGTGGAGTGAAATACACACGTAGTTTCTCTTATGACTTGTCTAAGCTCTCTTCCTCCTGTCAATGTCATCTTGGAACCTTAGACGCTGTGCTTTGCATTGAAATCGCCCCCAAGAATAAATCCGTAATTAATTTATGGAATACTTAGGCGGGCAATACATTGCTCCTATCTGAAAGTTTTGATTTGTCGCTATTGCCTTAATTACACTCAGTTTTATCTCCTTATTTTCAACCTTGCAAATTTCGAATTGCTGGATTTTTTCCTTAATGATAAATGACTACCGCATTGTGATGGATTTTCGGGGTGCATTACCGAATATATTTAGTAACCGTTGATGTTAATTTCTTTGCAATACTTGTGGCATTCTGACGCAAGACATTTATCTATATTTTTTAAATTTAACATAGTTTCTAGTTCTAATTTTTAATTGAGAATGCTGTTGGCGGTACAAGTTAGGATGCTTATATTGTCGCACATTCTTGATTCTACTATGCAGTGCAAGTTGATACCTCTTGCTATCTCTTTTTTTAAGGTTGTCTAGTCTTAGTCTAAAATTTCTAAGAAACTTAGTATTTTATCCAATGTCTGCCAACCATTGTCATCTCCATCCATTGCATCTGTTAACTGCTTGTTAATGTGTTGAAGGCATATAAATTCCCTTTTGACTTTCAGTGTTTTTTTTATCTTTGGTCTGCTTGCTTACCCTCGGAGTTGCTTTGGTATCAATCGGGGGCTGGCCCACGTTTTATGCAGTGATAGGAGTATGTCACACCACTTATTACTTTTGCTGATGTGAATGCCTTTGGCTGACTTTTCTGTTGAAAATTCCAAGAATGGAACTAAATTAATTTGCACCAAATATAGGGCACAGCATT